TCCATAATAAATGTGTATAAGTAGATAGACAATATATCCATACATGCCAATTAAATGGGTAAGACTGCATATGGTTCAATGATGAGCTCTTTTACAAGTCCATATTTTAAGACATGTATTTGATATTCATAAGAACTCCACAAAAGCTACACAATCGCGACAAAACGGTACCAGCATCACAGATACTAATAATACATTTTTTAACATGAGATACATATGATTACTTTAAAATAAAAACATGTATCTAAATAGTAAATTAGAAGGATTAAAAATATACTCTATACACTTTTCGCAATTGTTTTTCGTTTGGAGTAAGCGTGAGTGAGTTTGGTTTTATGCCGCTTTAAGCAATATTACAGCAATATCACGGTGGGGGACACCAGAAATGGGCTTCACACATTGTACCCATGTCAGGATTTGAACCCGGGTCTTAGGCGTGTCGAGCAAACCACTAAGCTACCCGACCGCCCCTTTTTCGTTTGGAAAGAGTAGTGACAGTAATGATTGGTATCTGATGGATGCAAACAGTTGTCGAGTCGCTGTCTCAGATGGCTCACATTTCGTTGCTCTAAAGATCACGACTGTGATACAAACCGTGAAGAAATTTGTCTCACAGTCCCTGAACCATATTATTTTCCCTTCCGCCAAGGCCTCACTGTAATGCTATAGCCCAAAATGAAACAAGCCTAGATGTTCAGGTTCAGGCTGAAATTTCCATCCCACTAGGGCTCCTTTTAAATTTAAATATAGTTTCTCATTTTAATCAAAATATTATATTTTCAGAAACTAAGCCTTAGTCTTACCGTGAAGTACAACTATCCAAAAGATCCCATGCATGTCTATATTTCTTCAGACAGACTCTCCATGTTCACATCGATACATGTATATATCAAAAGACAAATGAAAAAGCACTGGTGAATAGGTTATATGCGCATGTCAGCGTCGCTCCTGCAATATCCTTTTGCGCAAAATACATATATATATACTGATGAATTAACGTAGTAATACTACGCAAATATATGTCCAGATGTATACATCAGTTTCATCTGGGGATCTTTATTCGTGCGTTTAGCTCTTTTTCTTCAGGAGATTCTGGGGTGTTACATCACACCAGAAAGCCAGGTCCAAATTTAAGTCATAATTTCATGGTCCGTCTTGTATGTTGGAAACCAATATCGCAGTATGGCTGAATATTGGTAAACGTTGTATTAACCCAATTACTCACATAATTATTCCATTTTCTTCAGGCACGTTCTACAATCATCTACGGACACTATCTATAAGGAGGTATATCTATATTCATCCAAATATCCATAGATATATGTCCACATATACATGTATTAAGCAAGTCCTACACTCTTCCTAAAAAGATAAATGCTAAGCATTTCTTCTGTATGTACTTATATATGTAAATATCGTTTTAATGTCAACACTGATACAATGAACGTACCACAGACCTGATGCTAGAATAACATCTAATCTCTGAAATGAACATATTTTACAGAAAAAAACAGTTGTTAAACAGTAGTTATAAAATATAATAAAAAGGAGCCAAGAGACTTTCTTCATTTTGCCAAGTATTGAGCTGTATTGGACATATTTGTTTCGGGGTCTGTATGCAAGACAAACCTGATGCTTTTAAGTATAAAGATAAGTAAGTATAGCTGTTGTATATATTCAAATATCTTTCTGATTAACCCAACCTTGAAAAATATTGAAAGATGAGTGATAACTATTTTTGTCATTATTTCAAATTAGAATGATGGCACAGCAGGAAATCATGGCACTTTAATAAAAGTATCATGTTAACCCAATATTTTTTTTTAAGTAAGAGCAACATGTATATTGAGAGTATAGGTTTGGTGCGTGACTTATCACACATTACTTTCAGAAAGTGTGCATATTCTGTTTATCGGCAATAAATGACATAAGAGGATTAATAGGGGTAAATACGATTTACTTCAGAACTAGTATAGATTACTTTAGGTTAGGGGAAAATGTATGTAATTAACAGAACTTTGAATTTCGGCTAGAGTCGTGCTCAGGGGGTTGTTTGGGTGGTTTTAAAGGATTCGGTTCCTGGCTTGGGCTTTGTGTTAGATGTGTAGACGGCATTTCTAGGTTTGACGTATCAATGACCAAAATGATGTCTCTATTTTGGCTTCTACCGTGTGTTCCCGTACCTTTTCAGGTGAACAATTGGCTTGCCTTTGCATGTGTTTGTGGCGGGTGCCACTCGTGGATCGGGATGAGCTCGCCTTTTTGCGAGCACCAAGAGTCATCATTTTTTATGTTGAATCATGACACATGCTCCTGGTGTTGTCGGAATCGTTATGGGAAGGCTTATGTCGCTTTTGTTAACTGATAAACATGAGATATGATGCCAGTGTATATGGTCATGTAATTACGAAACAAACGACGAGTGGGAGTTGTTTATTGTATGATAAACAATGACCACGACTCGTATATTTCTTATATGAGATATCAACATTATGTACAGCCTCTTTAAGGGTGTTAAATTAGAAAAAAATGAATGCTTTTAAAATATTTCCCCCTTCTTAAATAATGATGACTCCCTAAATAGAATTCGACCACGGCAATGCCAGATAAATCCATTTTATGAACAGGAGGGTTTGAATTTGGTCCTTCCCGCATATTCTCACAATTGCTCGTCGATTATCTGTACCTTTTCTCCCAATACCGATTGTCATATCGCCCTCACTTTCGGATGCGATTGTTTGGGCATTGCTTTTATCTACCTTCACCAGCTCCACCTTTTGAAACAACTCACTAGACACTTCCCTCTCAAAAATAACGTCAAATTTACGACGTCCTCAAGTTGCGAGTGCATGTTTGAATCTCAAAAAATGACGTCATGATAGAACAATGTTTTATGTTTTATCGCGTAGATATCTTATATAATCAAATGTCAATTTCTAATTGCTTTATCATGACGTTTCCGTGTCATAACCAATCATGTAGCAATAGCATACACAATTATCCCGCGATATGCCAAGGAGAGGCACGGGCCACCGCGCCGTGGGTGCCCGTGCCTATAATAAAAACAGAGGATGAGGTTGGGTTAAATGGCCGAGGGTGTGCAGGTACTAGTGGGCTACTTAGCTGCTAATTGTGTATACCAAAATGCTACCGTTGCCATGGCCACGCGCGTGGCCGACGGCGATTGCAGCTAGCGCTGCTGGCCTGGGACTGCTACCGCTGTCCGGCCCCCACGGTAGCATATTTAACCGCTACCATTGCTTGGCAACTCCCACGCTGCCAAAAGCAGCTCCACGCTGCTGGCCTAAGTCAGACTGCCGCTGCCCGGCCCCAGGTAGCCGGCCAAAGCAGATCACACTGCCCGGCCCCATTAGCAAAACCATTGTGCGGCCCCCCGCCGCGGACCCAACTGTCAGCTACCGCTTGACAAGACGACTTCCGCCGCCGGGCCCATATACGTGGCAATTGTTTGCCCCAACGTATGTTATTTTACGATTCCCCGGCTGAAAAGTCGGGAAAGACAAGGTTCCCACTGAGAAGCAGGTAACCCCGGAAAGGTTCCCGCTGAAAAGCAGGTAGCCTTAAGCACGAGTATTAATTTGGAAGCAAGTTAATTTGTTACTAGCAGTGTAGCCCACAAGAACCCCGCACACCTCGACATAGTTTATTGTTGAGACAGGTATTGCATATATACATATATACAGCTATTAGGCAGTCATGTTTATTTACATATATCAGAATCATTTAAAAGTATGTACATATATACAAGCGCTCTGAAAACCTATTTTACATATGTACAGGTTTATTTACATATATACAATCCGCTCTGCTGGTACCTGTAATAGAATAAACGCTGAAAAAGAAGTGATTAGCATTCCAGGTGAAGAGGACACGTCAGGCTGAAAAGGAAAGAAAAGGGAGTGGCAAGCTGAGTGGGTGGGTGGGTGGGAAAGCGTTTCTAGACAGTGACACACGTGTGTGTGTACTGGTGGAGGGTTGGTCGCGAATGACCGACTAACAAAGAGGGGATGATGCTTGCGCGGGATTATTCCCCGGGCACGGTGCCCAGTGGTGGCCCGGGGTGATTGGGTTACGAGGGGTGGTTGGGTTACAGACGTAATTAGCCCATGGTTTGGATACGCGCGATAAAGTCATTTAGTCGTTAGTACTAAATGTAATTATCCCGCGATATGCCAAGGAGAGGCACGGGCCACCGCGCCGTGGTTGCCCGTGCCTATAATAAAAACAGAAGATGAGGTTGGGTTAAATGGCCGAGGGTGTGCAGGTACTAGAGGGCTACTTAGCTGCTAATTGTGTATACCAAAATGCTACCGTTGCCATGGCCACGCGCGTGGCCGACGGCGATAGCAGCTAGCGCTGCTGGCCTGGGACTGCTACCGCTGTCCGGCCCCCACGGTAGCATATTTAACCGCTACCATTGCTTGGCAACTCCCACGCTGCCAAAAGCAGCTCCACGCTGCTGGCCTAAGTCAGACTGCCGCTGCCCGGCCCCAGGTAGCCGGCCAAAGCAGATCACACTGCCCGGCCCCATTAGCAAAACCATTGTGCGGCCCCCCGCCGCGGACCCAACTGTCAGCTACCGCTTGACAAGACGACTTCCGCCGCCGGGCCCATATACGTGGCAATTGTTTGCCCCAACGTATGTTATTTTACGATTCCCCGGCTGAAAAGTCGGGAAAGACAAGGTTCCCACTGAGAAGCAGGTAACCCCGGAAAGGTTCCCGCTGAAAAGCAGGTAGCCTTAAGCACGAGTATTAATTTGGAAGCAAGTTAATTTGTTACTAGCAGTGTAGCCCACAAGAACCCCGCCACAAAGCACCCGAGTGCTACCCCACACCCACGGCCACTCGATACGCGGAGATAGCATTGTTGCCCGGCTTGCCTATGTACTGAAAGGAAACACTAACCTGTGGAGATAATATCCTTACTGGCGCAAAACGAGCGCCAGGGCATGCAATAAATTGTCCGTAAACACACACAGTCCTTTGTCGCTGAGGTGGACGCCCTCCCAGGCGTACCATGTCTTGTCTGATGCCAGGATCTGGGGATGTGGCACCATTGTACCGCCGAGCTCTTTGACTCGGTTGGCCAGTCGGCGGTTGGTATTCTTCCGCATCCCCTCGATCTTTAGTGGGTCCCTGGCATCGTGCCAGTAGCGCCTGGGCAGCATTGAGGATACGATGATCCTGGTGTCAGGAAGCTGGAGTTGTATCCGAAGGATTGATGCCACCATGTCAAGGTAGAGTTGGCTGCCCTTGACCGAGCACAGGTCGTTGGAGCCCAGGTGAATGATGAGGGCTCTGGGGCTGCGCCGTGTCGCCTTGACCTGTGCATCCAGAATGGTGTCCAGCTCCTTCCACCTCATCCCCCCTCGTGCCAGCCATAGCATCCTCGGTTGGTTCGGACTGGTGCCCTTCAGGAGCAAGTACTGCCGTGCCCTGGCCATGTAGCTGGATCCCACCATCCAAACTGTAAACAATAAGAAGTGTAGTAAGTACCATGAAAGACTATTTGAATTAGTTGTGCAACATTGAATTTGTTGGTAGGCGTATGTAAGCATTGTAGCAATCTGATTTCCACCTGCCGTATTGTTGTATGAGGTGTTCGGGCACCCCGTTCATGGCTGCTGATGTGGCTGCCCCAATGCGGAAGGAGTGCGAAGAATAGTAGGCCGTGTTTATGTTGCTGTGTGCTAAGGCCTTTTTTAGGAGTGCCTGGAATTGGTACCTTGTAACGGGGGAATGGTCAAAGTGGACGAATGCATGTTGTGGGCCGGAGGGGCGCGCCTCCAGGTAGTGCTTGATGGCGACTACCGGACATAGCGGGTTACCTGGTATAGGTGACATTGTAACTGTTGTCCCCATCCTGTACTGATCGGACTTTGAGTGTGGTAAATGGATTGCAAGCTGCTGGGGGTTGCCCGAGAAGCTTAGATTCTGGATGGCGCAACCTGTTTTTGAGGGTCCAGTTTGGACCAGTTCGCTAACCCTAAAGAAGCCGAAGAAGGCTGTGCAGTAGACTGCCTTGAACAGCCTGGCTTCATATGCTGATGAGCATACGTGAGGCAGATTGTTGGTTACTACCTGCAGCAGATCTGCAGTGATCGGTTTTCTGGTGTCTGGACGGCCCGCTGATTTGTGTAAGCCAGTTACAATCTTGCCTACCAGGAAATGGTTTGTACAGTCGGTGAGCCCGTGGAATTTGTGGTGTGAAGACAGCGCTGCAATGTAAGTCTTGACTGTGTTGGGGGAGTGGTGAGTGACTGACAGATAAGCAATAAAGTTTACGACCTGATCCAGCGGGACTGGCCACACTTCTTGTAGCTGGTGTGCGGACCGGAACTGGTGCAAGGCATTGATGCCTGTTTGGTAAGTGGCCCATGTATTAGTAGACAGAGATTGTTGTAGGAGTCTGCCGGCTTCCTGCCTCAGATCAGCCATATGTTGCACGGGATAGGTGTGGGGTTCTGGTCCGCGGCTGGTGCTGCCTCTCGGAAGCGTTTGAGCTGAAACCTCGAGAGAGCATCGGCAATAGTGTTAGCAGTTGAACATACATACTTTGCCTTAAACATAATATTATATCGGAGGCACTGCAGGATTAGGCGACGGAGTAGGCTCATCACTCTGGGGGCCTTGGTTGACTGCTTGTTGATTATTGTTACGACGGCTTGGTTGTCGCAGTAAAAGAGGACCTTTTTGTTTGCGAGTTGCTTGCCCCAGATTTGGATGGCCAGTGTGATGGGGAACAGCTCCAGGAGCGTCAAGTCCCGTGTAGTTCCATCCGTCACCCACTGGGTTGGCCATGCGCCGTTAAACCATTTGCCCTGCATGTAGGCCCAAAAGCCGGCGCCGCCCGCTGCGTCTGAAAACAGCTGGAGGAAATCGCTGTAAGAAATGTTAACCACATTTGTAGGTCTTCCTTGACCCAGCTGGTAATCCTAATGTGGTGAAATGGTTGCTTACCTTTGCTAAGCAGATCGATTAGCCTGCGGCTGAATGCCCTTGCCATTGGTATAGCCCTGCACATAAAGTTAAGCTTGCCTATGAGGGACTGAAGGGCCCTTTTTGTGACCTTGATGTTACCTGTTGACAGGATGTCATGGATTTCCCTTGTTGCCTCCTTGATCTTGGGCTCTGGGATTCTGATCTGCATTGCAATGGTGTCGATTTCCAGCCCTAGGAATGTCAGTTTGGTTGTGGGGCCCACCGTCTTGTCGTGCGCAATAGGAACCCCGAGCTGTTCAAGTGTATTCACGCATCCGTTGAGGTTGTCTGAGCAGTGGCTGGTGCCTGCTGTGCCCCCCGTTAGGAAGTCGTCCAGGTAATGCATGATCGGACGCGTTGGAAGATGGGATTGCATGCACCATTGCAAGAAGGTACTAAACGTTTCAAATATGGCGCAAGATATGGAGCAGCCAAATGGTAAGCATTTATCGAAATAGAACTCACCTTCGAATCTGATGCCTAGCAGCTCGAAATCGGATGGGTGGACTGGTATAATTCTAAAGGCCGACTGAATGTCGAATTTTGTTAGTAGTGCTCCCTTTCCCAGTTGTTGAACCATATGGGTAGCTTCATCAAATCTGGCGTACACAAGGGAGCAGGCCTCTGTGTCTATGAAGTCATTTATAGATTTACCCCTGGGATAGGATAGATGGTGGATTAGACGGAATTCCTCCGCATGCTTACCCAGGTGCTGACCATACCCTGGCTGCTTCTTGGGCACCAGGCCTATTGGGGATACTTGGAGGTTGTCTAGGGGGGTGTCCTTGAAGGGGCCCGCCATCCTGCCAAGGTCGACTTCCTTTTGTAGTTTTTGTTTCACGTAGCCTGCCGTGTCTTGGTGCGTGGCTGATCGCAAGTTTCGTGCCAGGCGACCCGTGCGGCTTCCCTGGAACTCGAGCTTAAAGCCAAAGCTAAAACCTACCCATAAATAATTTGCATCTCTGTAATTGACCCTAGCATATTGGCGTAACCAAGGTGCCATTTCATTGAGGTCCACGGGGGAAGGGGCCATTGAATTTACCTGCCTTGCGGGGTTGTTTTCTGTTAGGATTGGGCTTGTATGGGGTCGGTTGGACCCCATTCCCTCGAAAGCAGGTCCTAGAGCTATGGGAATGTTCGCCACACTTACCGCATTTGTGAGTGTACTTACAGTTAACCCTGCTACAGCCAAATTTATTGAAATCCCAGCATACCTGACTGGCGATGTCCCCCTGTACGCGTGTCATTGCGCCCCGTCCGCCTGATTCTGGTTGTCGTACCGGCTGTGTTACCATGTACTTCAGCCACAACTCCCCGTCGATGTTGTCCCAGCGTCGTGAGGGGTCCCTTGACATTCTGTGTCGGAATTGTTGGTCGTAGGTTGACCAGGCATCCCCCCGAATCGAAGCGCCGCCGTCCGTATGGTTTCCATGTAGGACAGCAACCCCTGGGTTGTGCGGACCTCGGAGTGCCTACTAACATATATACACATGAAAATGTGGAAAGCTGAAGTCAAGCTCGCCAGGGACAGACGCTTTGGTTGCTGCTTAATTGGTTTAAAAATTACCTTACCTGAGGAGTCGTACGCCATGGTAATCGTACCGTCCTCGTGACCTCCCTCGTTGTTTGGTAGTATTGTGCCGAGGTCGACATACTCGCCACGCCATATCTTTCCCTCACCTGTTGTTTGACGTGCGCGTCTATCCCGTCCGCACGGAAAGAAAGGGAATCCCCGTATCCTGTGGTGTGATTGGCTGGCCAAGCCGCGTCTCCGTCGGCCTCGTTGAGGGCATCGGGGATTCTCCCTATGCTGGGCGAAATGGCGGGCGAACTAAAACCACGCCTTACCTGTTGGTTTGCGCTAACCGGGCCAGGCGCTGAATGTTTCAGCAACTGGAGTATTCTTTCCAGTTGTTCGTTTACCTGGGTAGCCGAGTTGGCAGCCTGTGCGGCATTTACAAGCTGCGCCGATTGTACGTTAATTCTGTTGCCACCTTCGATATTGCCGTGAATGGCAGACTCACCATCAGCTGTTGCCTCCTGTACAATGTGTACTCCCGGGGTTTGTCTTCTGGTTGTCCTTGGCTGCTTGGCTCCCCTCACCAGCTTGTGGTTGACGGTTGCTCTTCTCTTGGGAGGCATCACAAAGGTCGAGGTGGTGAGTGGAACGGAATAAATGCGATACGGCGAGTGCTGAAAATAGATGGTATTTAAAGCGTAATCGGCGAAACGGTCGCGATTGTGTAAATGCGATACGGCGAGTGTTGGAATAGATGGTATTCGAAGCGTAATCGACAAAACGGTCGCGACTGGGTACAAAAGAAACGTGCAAAGCGAAAGAAAGCGTTTCTAGACAGTGACACACGTGTGTACTGGTGGAGGGTTGGTCGCGAATGACCGACTAACAAAGAGGGGTTGATGCTTGCGCGGGATTATTCCCCGGGCACGGTGCCGAGTGGTGGCCCGGGGTGATTGGGTTACGAGGGGTGGTTGGGTTACAGACGTAATTAGCCCATGGTTTGGATACGCGCGATAAAGTCTTTTAGTCGTTAGTACTAAATGTAAATATCGTTGATTTTGACGTAGAATAGTGTCATGATATATGATTACCCTTTGGTGTGCAATATTTCTGGTTGATGATTCTAACATATGCTTACTTTTAAGAATGGCGACTATACATTTTTATATCACTTCATCAGGTCTCTGTAACATTTACAAAATAATACGAATTTAATAATACAACTGAACCTATATGTATGTATGTTGTGATATCCTTAAGTTGCTGAGTGCGGCATTAAGCAAACAATCTAAACATAGTATCTTTAAGAATTATGTTAACAATGCCGATGCTAAAAAATAATCTCCACAATCGCCATACCTCTTTCTCTAAGTTTTAATATGAAAACATAATAACCTTTTTTAATAATCTGAAGGAATAATAATGACAATAATATCATGATAATATCATCATTATTTATGTTACTTATCCTCAAATGAAGTAGTCCTCCACACTATACATTCTGTGAAGAAGCCCATGAACATATGAACTATGTTACATACATTATTCGAAATTAGATGAACAGTTTAAGTTAGTAAATTATATTATTCGGTCGAGCGTCTATCAGCCAATACTACATTATTGAATCACATACAGTGATTTTTGCAAGGCTACTCTCATGAATGTCATGACGCATTTTAGGCCAGGGTTCTATACTCGCATTAATGTGATGACGTATTATTGCATTAATTTCATGATTTACAGTATTCACGAAGAACATTTCACGTAGGACCAACAGTGGGAATTGTGACTATCGACTTGCTAATTATTTTTGATATTCATGCTAACTCAAACGATCTATTGGTTTGATTTATTGTTATGGGTATCCATAAAATACGTAGGATCCGTTAGTTGCCTTTTACGACAAGCATAGTCACCTTTTTATGACAAGCATGGGTTGCTGAAGATCTATTAGATCTATCCCATATCTTCACTATATTAGGTACTTCCTGATGTCTCCTTTTCATATTTGATTTTGTAGGAAAATATGAGTACTGTTGTAATTAATCATTGGCTTCTACGTGGTCTTGTGAGACGCAGATTTATCAGTGAATAATAATCATAATCATAATCATAACTTGAGATGCGCACCCACTAAGGCCGGGTGCAATGTGACGTAGCTAAAATAAACATGATTGATAAAATAAATAAAGAGCTTGAAAGACGGTCAATGATCGCACGCATTTCGAGGGCAGTTTATGGTAAAATTGAAAGGGAAAATATTCATAACAAATATCTAAGGACATTTGTTGAAGGAGTAGCCATCGCCATGAGCACTTGAACTCGAACTAGGCTCATGTGACTAGGACAAGGAAATTTCAAATTGACATAGGTTCTGGACGTTTACCATTTTGGTGAAACCCAGGCGCACATGCATGGTGCTGACAAACCTTGCAAACCTAGAAAACAGATCAGGGAGAATCTGGGATTTTATAGTCATAGGTTTCCGGCATACGTCAGTGATTCAACTCTGCATAGTGAATTGCGAATTCACCCCTTCACCCACAGATACACTTACCCTTACCCAACTCTACCCAACCCAACCCATTCAAATAACGGTATTCTCATGTTTTTCAAGCACATTACATCGGTAAATATCTTACATTACAGATTTGACAGACAACTGGACCACAACTAAGATTCAAGGACCCGATATGATAATGACATCGTTGACATGGAGCCCTTCATTTGCTAATGAATTCTACATTCTGAGTGAAAGAAAGGGGGTTAATTTCGTCATCGAACTTTTCATACTCAGAGGAAATTTACTGGAGAAACACGTCCAGTGGGATAACGTCCTTCTACCTCGGAACTACAATACCATGACAACGGTAACTATTGACACGGGACCATGTCTGAAAAATGACAGTATGTCCTGCATATATGTATTCGGATGGCAGACCTTTTTATTCATGATCAGTGCTGAGGTGCATTTGTGTTATTACCGGGAAGTCAAGAGTCCACGTCACCTTGAGTTGGAAAGGGAAGGGGTCATCACACAGTATGTATTACCATCTTCTTTTTAAACGGAGATAATTTATTTTATTATTCACTTCTAAATGCCTTTCAAAGACGTCATGTTTTTGTTTATGAGAGCTCGTGTAAATACACAAACAAACTACTGGAAATACAAAATTCTAACTAGGGTTTTACTGTAGAATAGTAAGATGCTCGCTTGGTGTATACTGTAGAATAGCAAGATGCTCACTTGGTGTATATTGTAGAAAAGTATCATCCTCGCTTAGTGTATATTGTAGAATAGTAAAATGCTCACTTGGTGTATATTGTAGAATAGTACGATGTTCTTTTGGTGTATATTGAAGAATAGTAAGATGCTCGCTTGCTGTATATTGTAGAATAGTACGATGTTCCTTTGGTGTATATTGAAGAATAGTAAGATGCTCGCTTGGTGTATTTTGTAGAATAGTAAGATGCTCACTTGGTGTATATTGTAGAATAGTAAGATGATCAATTGGTGTATATTGTAGAATAGTAAGATGCTTGCTTGGTGTAAAATGTAGAATATTGAGATGCTCGCTTGGTGCATATTTCACAACAGTAGGACACTCGCTTGGTGTAAATTGTCAAATAGAAAGATGTTCGCTTGGTGTATATTGTAGACTTGTAAGATCCTCACTTAGTGTATATTGTAGAACAGAAAGATGCTCGCTTGGTGTATATTGTAGAATAGTAAGATGATCACTTGGTGTATATTATAGAAAAGTAAGATCCTGGCTTGCTGTATATTGTAGAATTGTAAGATGCTCGCTTGGTGTACATTGTAGAATATCTAGATTCTAGCTTGGTGTATATTGTAGAAGAGTAAGTTGCTCGCTTGGTGTATATCGTAGATAAGTATGATTGTGGAAAATAGTAGAATAGTAGAATGCACACTTTGTATATATTGTAGAATAGTAAGATTTTCGGTTGGTGTATATCGTAGAATTGTAAGATGCTCGCAGGGTATATATTGTAGAATAGTAAGATGTTCGCTCGTGAATATTGTAGAATAGTAAGATGCTAGCTTGGTGTGCATTGTAGAATAGTAAGATGCTTCCTTTTTTTCTATTTTTGAATATTGAGATGCTCGCTTGGTGTATAAGGTAGAATAGTAAGATGCTTACTTGGTGTATATTGTAGAATAGTAAGATGCTCGCTTAGTGTATATTGTAGAATAGTAAGATGCTCGCTCGTGAATATTGTAGAATAGTAAGTTGCTAGCTTGGTGTACATTGTAGAATAGTAAGATGCTTCCTTTTTTCTATTTTTGAATATTGAGATGCTGACTTGGTGTTTAAGGTAGAATAGCAAGTTGCTTACTTGGTGTATATTGTAGAATAGTTAGATGCTCGCTTAGTGTATATTGTAGAATTGTAAGATGCTGGCTTGGTTTATAATGTAGAATAGTAAGATGCTCGCTTGGTGTATATTGTAGAAGAGTAAGATGTTCGCTTGGTGTATATTGAAGAACAATGAGATGCTGGCTTGGTGTAAAGGGTAGAATAGTGAGATGCTGGCTTGGTGTATATTGTAGAATAGTAAGATGCTGGCTGGTGTATATTTTCTAATAGTAAGATACTCGTTTGGTGTATATTTGATGTCCCGAAAAGATATGCGAACCATGAAACATTTAACTCCTTGCAACGTTTCAGGGCTTCGTCTGCCCATATATCTGCTGATGTTACTGGCTGCTCCTTCATCAGGCGATGTAACATATTGCTTTCAATCGTATTCTTTGGCTGCTTTTTCTCACAGACACGATAACGTGTCTAGAAGCAGTGACTCAAAAGATACTCTGTCGCTGATGACAATGCTATGTCCTCTGGTAGTAACATGTTAGGTCAAAATGTATTGTTGGCTTTGAGTAAAGTCATCTATAAAAAAACAACCGAATATTGCGAAAATTACCAATATTTACCAACAAAGAGTAGAAGTAGAAACTGCCAAAAAGATTACATTTATAGCACCCAGGAAAGCAGTAGAAATTACATTTTAGTTTCATGGGAACATTTTAAATGGACATTGCAATTGCGGAACTCAAAATTACACCTAAAGCATCATAGAAAGAGGTACATATCAAATTTATTTGAACGTTGTAAATTGACATTACACTTATAGCGCTAAAACAAACATAGGTACTGTCAGCGAATATTTTATCTAGAGTGATCAGGAAAGTAGCAAGTACCAGCGGACATTACAGTTATAGGGTCTAGGGA